AAGACTGATTATATGTATCTTGATTCTCCTAATGAAGGGTCATTATCAACAATGTGAATAACTTCTTTCAGGCTCAAGAGGAACTAGCTTGGAAGATTGCTAAAATGATAGTGAGTGACGTTATGCAGCAGGCGCACTGTGATCAACCACTGGAGAAATCTACGAAGGTAAGGGTGACTTGCATTCTGACTTAGCCTTTCGCTGCTGGGGTTTGTTGTTGTTATTGTTTGTTTGTTTGAGACAGGGTCTTAATATAGCCCAGGCTAGGCTCAAAGTCTTCTGACTAATGTCCACCTAGAACTTCTGATCTTCCCACTTCTGCACACCAACTGCTAGAATTGTAGGCTGTGCCATCCAAATTGATTTGTATGGTGCTGGGAGCAACCCTTGGGCTTTGCGAATATTACAGAAGCACTCTACCGAATGAACTTTTTCTCTGCCCCTGGCCTGGCTTTTGTAAAGTAAATAAATAAACACACACAGGCACATATTTTGATTGTTTAATAATAATTTTTTTTTAAAAAGGAGCTGGAATTAGGACTCTGTGGTTAAGAGTGCATACTGCTCTTGCTTGGGTGGGTCCTGAATTTGGTTCCCCGAATCCACAACCATACTTGGTCACACACCAAGTATGATGCCTGCGGATCTCAGATACCTGCACTCACATGTATAACACATATGCATATATACATATATATGATATTAGGATACTTCTGTATCTGCCTCTGAAGCATTAGCTGCTCTAGGAATTATCTTTCATCATAAGGAACTGCAAGACTGATGAACTGAACAAAATATATTCCCATATGGTGGACACTATGTGATCTTCGAAAACAGTAGAATTGAAGTGATTCCCTAGCCCACTGTTGGCAGTTGGCTTCTAAAGTAGAGAAGGCAAGTCTGAACAGAGCCAGGAGATTTGATGAACTTAAAAATGAAAGGAACATTTAGAGAGGAAAAGCTTGATGTGGTTATTTATAGCAGTTATGAAACAGGGCATCAGAAAAGAAGACGCTGTCCAGAAAAAAAAGCTATTGGCCAGATACCAGTCTTCATGGATGTACATGAAAATGCTTATCTCAGGGCTGGAGAGATGGCTCAGAGGTTAAAGAGCACTGACTGCTCTTCCAAAGGTCCTGAGTTCAATTACCAGCAGTCACGTGGTGGCTCACAACCATCTGTAATGAGATCTGGCGTCCTCTTCTGGCGTGCAGGCATACATGGAGGCAGAATGTTGTACGCATAATAAATAAATAAATTAATTAATTAATGCTTATCTTTAGGGAACAAACCCCCAAAAGTTAGATGTTGACTGGTATCCAAAAGATGGTGTTTCTTCTGGCCACAGTAATAAACAAAGAATACTAAGCATTGGGAGTTATGTGAAGCCTAATATACGTCAACAAAGTTTAAAAGCAGTTTGGAAGGATCAGGCTACATACAATTGTATGCCAAAACAAAAGTTGCCAGGCGATGGTGGCGCACGCCTTTAATCCCAGCACTCAGGAGGCAGAGGCAGGTGAATCCCTGGGAGTTCGAGGCCAGCCTGGTCTACAAGAACTAGTTCCAGGATAGCTAGAACTGTTACACAGGGAAACCCTGTCTCGAAAAACAAACAAAAAAACAAAAAACAAAAGTTAATCCTCTTTAAAGGAACATAGCATAAAGGTAGAAAGAGTTGACTGACAAAGTTGTCCTGACCATCACAGCCCATTGTAGCATGTGCACCCACCCATACACATCATACCTGCACACACACACACACACAATAATATTGATTAATAATATTGAAAATAATAATGATGATGGGAAGCCTTATCTTCCCTGAAAAATTATGAAAAATCATAATGATCATGGGAAGCCTTATCTTCTCTGAAGAGTGGATTGGGGGTTGGATGAGAGGGAAGGTGGAGGGGAATGGGAGGAGGGCAGGAGGTGGAAACTGGATTTGGCATGTAAAATGACAAAAAATCGGGGTATTTAATTAATTAAAAAAATAAGCAAAATGTAAGAAAATATAAAATAATAATGAACAAAATTTAAGAGGAATGTCAAGGCAAACAGTATAGTAGGGAGAAATAGAAGACAGGATTTAAAAATCAAAGTTCTTGAAATAAATATTAGAGATGGAAAATGACATTGAATGAAATCAGTTGCCATTTAGGAACCACAAGAAAACATTGACCCCTACATGAAGACAAACAGAAAAAAACTGGAAATATTTAAAAAAAAAATGAGTAAAACAAATGCTATTAGACAACAATGTGTGCCAGCTAACAAACATTTGAGGCACAAATAAGTTGAGATACAGAAAAAAAACATAATTAATGATTAAAATTTTTCAAAATTTGATGAAAACTAAATCTGTGTATATATATTTAGCAAAAATTCTAATTGGTCTTAATAATAAAAACCCAGTCAGATATTAGGGAGTGAATGCTGAGAGATCAGAGAAGCAGAGCAGTCAGCCACTAGACTTGGTGAGTTCTTACCTCTACCAAAGGTACGATCAAAGAGGCGATCTTATCACTATGAATCCTCAGACTGCTGCTGTCTCTACAAAACCTCAGACTGTATCTGAACTCCTTCCTCCTCCGGCATTATATTCCTCTCTCTGCCCAGCCATATCACTCCTGTTTCCACCTCCCTAGTGCTGGGGTCACCTTTGTGTGAGCTCTGTTTCTCTTGTATAGCCCAGGCTGACCTTGGACTCACAGAGATCCCTCTGTCCCCTGAGTGCTGGGATAAAGGTGTATGCCACCACTGCCTGGCCTCTCTGGCTCTAGTGGTTTAGAATAGCTGGAGATGTTTTTTGGTTTTGGGGTTTTGTTTTGTTTTGTTTTATTTTTCGAGACAGGGTTTCTTTGTGGCTTTGGAGCCTGTCCTGGAACTAGCTCTTGTAGACTAGGCTGGCCTCGAACTCACAGAGATTCGTCTGTCTCTGCCTCCCGAGTACACCACCACTGCCTGGCTATGCTGAAGATGTTATTACATACAGGTAAGAACAGCAATCATTTTTTCAAATGTTAAGCAGGCCAGAAGGTATCTAAGTAGAAGTCAAATAATGAAGGTGGCTTTTGGTGAGGAAGTTAAATAAAGGAATTTCTTTTCTTTTTCAAGCCAAATAAAACCTGAGAGAGTTCATTTCCTCTGACCAAATAACTAAAATCAATTTAAGAAGATTCTTTCAAGCCAGGTGTGGTGGTAGAACCTGTAGTCTTGGCTCTCAGGAGCCTGAAGGTGAAGGATCATAAATTTAAAACCAACCTGTACTATATAGGGAGTTCAAAGAATGCCTAGCCACATAATACTCTAAAAGATAAAACAAGACAGACAACCCAACTAGACCTTTTTTTTTTTTTAATTAAAAAAATGTTGTCACTTTTTGGATGAATTCTTTTCTTAAAATTAAAATTTATTTTGTGTGTGTTTGTGTGTTCACATGTTCATTGGTTTGCATGTAGAGGTCATAGTTTGACATCAGGCAGGCGTCTTTCCCAATTATTCTCCACCTTATCTTTTGAGACAGGCTGTCTCACTGACCCTGGATTCTTCTGCACTAGCTGTTCTACAAGCCCCAGGGATTCTCCCTGGGTGCTGGGGTCTGAACCTTGGTCCTCGTGCTTGTCCAAGCACTTTACCCCGAGCCATCTCCCCAGCCCCACCATATACAGTTTTTATGTGCAGAGGAATCATCTGTCAGGATATGCCATATCCGCAGTCATAAAACAGGGGATCCAACACCTTCACACAGACATACATGTAGACAAAATAAAACACCAGTGCACATAGGCTGGGCGGTGGTGGTGCACGCCTTTAATCCCAGCACTCGGGTGGCAGAAGCAGGTGGATCTTTGTGAGTTCAAGGACAGCCTGGTCTATAAGAGCTAGTTCCAGGACAGGCTCTAAAACTACACAGAGAAACCCTGTTTCAAAAAACAAAACAAAACAAAAAAACACCAGTGCACATAAATAATTTTTTTGTTTTGTTTTTGGTTTTTGAGGATAGGGTTTCTCTGTAACAACCCTAGCTGAAATAAGAAATTAAAAAAAAAAAGAATATTGACAAACTGTAGAGATGGCTCAATTGATGAAGTGCTGTGGACTCGAGTTTGATCCCTAGAACCCACATTAAAAAGCCAGGTGCAGTAGCATTTCTTTATGATCCTGGTGCTTACACATGGATTCCTAGAGTTCTAATTGCTGAGCTCCAGGCCAGTTAGAATGCCTATCTCAGAAAACAAGGTGGACAGTCCTTGAAGAATAGCTCCCACAGTTTCCCAAGTGCACATCCGTACACATGAGCTCACACAGAGAGGACAGTGAAGAGTTTCATTCTGATAACCATTGCCCAAATAGAAAAATAAGAGCAAGTTCTTAGCTTCTTTAAGCTCCTGTTAACCTAGAGAAAGCTGAAGATAGTTAATCCTTTGCCTTACAAGAAAGTGCCCGGCTGTGCCCTACGGCATACCTAGGGAGCACTGTGTGCGTACTAGGCTCTTCCTTTATTTGTGTTAATAATGCGTTATCCCCTACAGGAATGTACCTTACCTTCTTCTTTTTGTTTTTCTTTTTTCCCCAGCTGTGACTCAAAATCAGAAATAAGAAAATATGATTTTGAAAGAACTTTTCCCTTTGGTTGGATTCCTCAACACAGCCAATGAAAACGGAGCACTGCAATTCTTTCCACTGCTAGATCACTGTTGTTTCCAAGAAAGAATGCGAGACAGTCCAAGATCTGTTGTTAAATGTAGACGTAGATGCACATGATGGTAACAGTGAGTCACAAGATGCAAAGTGGTATTGGTGACATTACTAGACAATTAGTTTTCCAGTAGCTGTAACCCACTATGAGAGAGTTACCCACTGGAATAGACTGGGACCACATCCTGTGTGAGGCAGAAAAGTGTGAATTGGCGTGTGGTCCACATGCTTGCAGCAGCCTCCATCCTTAGCAGTATCAGAAAGCACGAGAAAAGGTGCTTGTTTTTGTCCTCCTGAAATTCACAGGTGAGTCAGTCCTACCAGAACCTGCAGCTCCAAGTGGCAATGTGGGCCAGCAGCTTATGGAGCAGGTGACGATCCCTTGTGTAGTCTTCCTTCACAGAGGCATTAATTTAGAAAGAGTGACAAGTCATGGGTCAAGCCTCATGATGTCATCCTTCTCTTTGGTGACAGACATAATTTTCACATTTCATTCACTCCTGTGATGTTATATCCTTAAAGCTAGTCTCTCCGCTGCTAGCAAAAGGGCAAATTTAGTTTACTTTGAACATCAAGACCCATTCCTCCATAGGAATGCCATGCTCCCGATACTTCATTCCCTCTTCGGAATACACATGGCAAGAAATAACTAAAACTCCAGTTTGTCCCATGTGGTACTGGGAACACATTCTCAGATTTGATTTTATTTTTTAATAAGGCGGGGAAAGAAGCGCTGGCTTTTGAATGTCTCCACAGTTCTTCACTGTGAGTGGCAACTGTCTTCAGACAGTCGGAAACCCACTCGCTGCCCTTCTGCTTAGTTGGCTTTGCACCTGTAGCACGGTCGTTGGTGGGGCCACCCAGTTGGCAAGCACACTCCCCTGGCCATATGGTGCCAGTGCTTCCTGTATGGGACAGTTTAAAGAGAAAGGAAGTTTTCTTAGGTGTTACTGCTTTTGCTCAGAGTTTGCAAAAGAATATATTTATGTGTATGTATATATATATATAAAATTATTAATCACCTCTGTCCTTGGGAAAGTCTTGAATGAATAGAGAATTTATTTCATTGCAATATTGATTGTATAGAGGCACACTGTTTATCAACAGAAGAAACAAAAAGGCTGTGTATAAGTTTTTGGTACTATGTACCACCTCTGTTATTCTGAAGTATTCATGTACTTAAACTATATTCTATTTAATTGTGTTTGATTTTAAATATATATATATGAATTATATTTAAAATGGTGTCAACTTCCTGCTTTTAGGGCATTTATGGCTCTTCTTTTGAAATACATTGACCCTTCCTAATATTTTCATTCACTTTATAAAACTGTAGAATATGATCCACTACTGGACATAGTCTTGTCTTTGTATGTAGGCATAGATGAGAGGTTTTTTTTTTTTAATATATGTGCTATAGTGGCTCATTTTGTTCTTTTAGTCAAATATTTCTGTCCATTTCACATTGCTTCAAACTTTTAAGTGAAAAGCAATATAAAGATCATAGAGTAAAATGTGATTCTGGGTGATTCCTCCCACCTCTGCATGTATTTAGAGTAAACATTTCTGTAATATTGTAGCCTATTTTAAGTAGTGGTTTTTGTTAAAATACTTTCTAGTGATCTCTTTGTCTGCATTTTGTGTACCTGAGCTAGACATGTCAGTATTTATAAGCTATGTCTAAGGGGAAATGAGCAAAATTGAGGTTGATTTTGTTTTCTGCTCTGCCTACTGTGAGGTATAGAAGCAGAGTGACCCAAAGCTATTACACCAACTGTATGTTAGGTCCTTGTACTCATTTTAAAATTAGCATAAAATTGACCTAACATTGAGCACCCACCGTGTACTATGCAGTGTCTATGCACAAAAAGATGCCCTGGCAGGGATTTTAGGTCTAAAGCATTTGAACTTCGCTCTTACCATGCCATTGATGTCAGCAGGTTGTTAAAGTCACCTTCCCAGTGCGAGAGTGACAACATTGTGATTTGGCTTGTCTTCACCATTCCTATAGGAGATGATGAACATGAAAAGCAGGTGTCAGCCATGTCCAGTGAAGAGCAGTGGAACAGGAAACAGCCTTTTCTGCTTGAGTTCCAGTATCCAGTAAGGCTTTTTGAGATGTAAACTGTTTACACTACTAGAACTTTTGACTAGTTCCATAGATACTTTATGAGAAAGAGGACTCTGAACTGTAGAGAATCACAGACTTCATCGCTGTTGTTTTTAGTTTTCTGAGACAAGGTTTCACTGTGTAGTCCATGCTTTAGCCTCCCAAAATCTGGGGATTACAGGCACAGCCTCCACACCAGGCTTCTTTGCTGGCTTGTTTCAGTGTCAACAACTGAGCCCCTGATGTAACAGCCGATGTCTCTAAAGGCCCTGTGGAGACTTGGCCTGGCTCAGCACCCTCAGTGGCTTTCTGGTCTCACCCTCGTCACTCTTCTCCTCATTGGCTGTTTAAGCCAGGGATGAACTGACTGGAATGCCCAAAGATGGTTCTGTATTTTAAGGCTTTTGCATGAAGGAGACACTGATCACCACCTGGAAAGATGGCCTGGGTGATGACTTAGACAGCTACTTCCCAAGGCAAGAGTTGGCTCTGGTGAACAAGCCTGAGAGCCAGGGGGCCTTGGTAAACCTGGAGATGCCCTGGTTTCTTCATCCAGTCCTGTATTCTTGCCTTGGTCTTCATTCATCCCTAGGCTATGCTTAGAATGCATCTGGATGTTTTAATGTGAATCTGAAGTGACTTGTTACTACATGCAACAGAAAGGATCTTGACTAAAGGACTACCACAGTGTTCTAAATCATAATAACCATGTGTTCAGCAGACTGCTAATTACTATGACATTTTGGAGCAGAATTTTTCTGTAGTAAGCCTTCCTTGCTCATCTTGTGTATAATGTTGAAATGGAATCCTAACCTGGAACTAAGGCACTTGATCTTTTTAGTAAGATGTTACTCAGGCCTTAGAAAGGCTCCTGACCTATTACAGGATGGTCACCATCAGAGCCCATGCATCCTAGGCCAGGGCCTTTTCATGTTTCCCCATACTCAGCCCAAGAATAAGTTTGATTCCCGACTTTTAGCTGTAACCAAGCCCAGAAATAGAAGGCATTTCAACTAGTGTGTGCCCAGTACACACTTGAAAGTAGGAGGAACAGCAGCTCATGAGACCTGTAGATGTTGAGCACAACTATATACTAGGCTACCCCTTTGGCCTTCGGCTGGAGCCATAAAGCAGTAAGTAAACTACTTGCTAAAACCTTTCAAGGCTCAGACTTGAAGGGGCCACATTAATGGTTGTACTGCCCTTTGAGTCCTTTCCAGGTGGGCACTGAGGAACTGCCTCTTTGCTTGGGCAGGGGTGGGAGTGACTTGGAGTAGGAGGAATAGTACTGTGCTCTGACAGGTGGGAAGGCCGTAGAAGGCATTTAGGGTGCTGGTGTGAGCAAAGGTTCCAAAGGTGTCTGTTTAGGGAGGGCCTGCCTAGGAACACAGGAAGCTCAGTATTCATGACTTGGCAACTTGTGCTTGTAACCTTTCACTACACAGTAACCTGCTCTGACACACTAAGGATGCTGCAGAACTTGCACAGGATGCATAGTGATACATTGACACCTGAGGAACCAGAGACTGGGGTAAGAGGGTGCAAAAAAATCTTTGGGTTAAAGAGCTGTTTCCCAAGAATGAATGAGAGATGAGAATTTAACCAGCTTTGTGTCTGGTTTCAAGTTTTGAAGGCCATCTTTTTTGTTGTTGTTGTTTTGTTTTGTTTTTCGAGACAGGGTCTCTCTGTATTTTGGGAGCCTGTCCTGGAACTAGCTCTTGTAGACCAGGCTGGCCTCGAACTCACAGTGCTGGGATTATAGGCGTGCGCCACCACCACTCGGCTTCGAAGGCCACTAAATGTGCCTTCAGGCTGGTCCCTAACCCAAACCAACCTCTGCCTGAATCATAGTAGGAACCCCACCCCCGGTCATGAAAGAGGCACTAGCCACCATGTGTGTTGGCACCTATAATCCCAGAACACAGGAGGCTAAGGTGGAAGGATCACAAGTTTGAGGCCAGCTTTAATGAAATTCAGTCTCAAAAGTGAAAGCAGGTGCTGGAGATACTGCCCAGCAGTTGACTGCTCTTGTTATGTCGAGTGGTTCACAGCCACCAGCTCCAGCAGGATGCCTCACGTCCAGCCTTCATGTGCACCTACATTCACACACACATATCCACATACAGGCATACATATGTCCACGTAATGTAAGTGAAAAGAGTTTGTAGCTGAAAGAAATGCCTGGCTGTGACCTGGCCCTTCTGCCCATTATAGCTCTAAATGGTAGCCACCAAGGCTCAACTGGCATACCCAGATTTTTGTTTTGTTTTGTTTTGTCAAAGAGCAGCCTTTGTTCCTCCTAATTAACAACTAGTTTGGGGAGTGCTTACTCTGCTGATACTATTCTTAGTTCAGTGAGAGAGGAGAAAATAGGATGAACTTCCAGAACCCTTGGAGCTCAGATTCTACTAAGAAGGAACCAGAAGTTGAAAGTTGCATCTAAAACATGCTGGGCTAGGGTGTTTTTTTCCCCCAGTGGTAAAATGCATACTTAGCATATATGGGACTCTAGGTTTCATCCCTAGCACCAATAAATAAAATATGTACTAGTATTTTTGACTTGGGTGGCCTTTTGTACCAAGAGCCCTTTTGGGAGTCACCACTCTCCCATACCTTTCCACTGTCACCATTCCAGGAGGACAAGCACCATACCATTTACTTGCTGAAGGGCTCTGTGTTTGGGCGCTTGGTCACGTGTTGAACAGGGTATAAACAATGACCAGCAAGACCATTTCTGTACAGAACAATGAATAGAGAGTGTGGGATTGGCCTTGACTCCTTTCAGAACTTTGGGACACACCAATTCTTAGAATCTAGAAACATGAAGACTAAGTTTATCACACACACACACACACGATATAAAATCATGGCCTTGGAAAAACCTAGCTGGGAATCAAACTACTCCATGAAATCACCGGTGGGCTTTGTGAATCTTCTTTATTCCTAGTAATAATAGCCAGCATAATTGACCACTTAGATGTGCTAAGCACTGTCTCAGCCTTATGACAATCTTATAAGGTAAGTACTGTTTTCTTTCTTACATTATAAATGAGACTGCAACTGGAAGGGTAAAGGAATCTCCAGGATTGCACAGCCAGGGGCAAACCAGATGGCCCCCTTTTCTACTGCTGTGATGGATGCCGGCACTCATCACTGACTAGTATAGCGGATGTCAAAGGTTTAAGAAAAACTTAAGCTGGGTGTGGTACTACACATCTGTAATCCTAGCTCTTAGGAGATAGAAACAGGAAGATCTAGGTCATCCTCAGCTGTATAGCATGGGCAGCCTGAGCTATGCGGTTCCTGTCTTAAGAAAAGAAAGGAAAAGGATTCCATCCATACCTTACAGCACTGGGGTGTTTGTTTGTTTGTTTGTTTGTTGTTTATTTTTAATTGTTCTGAGGCAGTCTCGAGCACATCAGGCTGACTTCCAACTTCCTGTGTGGAAGCAGATGACTTTGAACTCCTTAATCTCCTACCTCCCAGGACAGGCATGTAAAAACACTCTTTTATGGGGTGCTGATAATCAAACTCGGGGCTTAGGACATGCTAGGCAAGGATTCTCCCATCCGAGCTGCGTGCCCAGCCTGAAAAGCACTGTTCTAAACTTTCATGTGCACCTGAGTCCCCAGGAAGACTTGTTAGCTCTCAGGCTGCCTATTCTGACGAACCTCTAAGGGTTCTGACTTAGCAGGACTGGGTGGGGCCGTAGAATTTTCATTCTCAGCGGATCTCAACCGCTGCTGCTGCTGTTAGGAATACAGTTTTGAGAATCACTACCTGAAAAGTTTCCCTGATGCTAAGGAAATGATTATTTTTATTCTGTTTTTTTTTTTTGGAAGTGCCACACTATGCAGAAATGTAATTTAATTCCTACTTTTGACTCCCTGAGAGTGGTACCTATCATCTTTCATTAATGTCCAGATGTTTATCAAATCCGAGAACATCCAAATATCACTCCTCAGTCTTTTTGTCGTGTTTGTCTCTCAGCTCCTTGATTCTGGCTGCCTTCTGAGGTCCTGCCCATGCTTCCTGGCCTGTTCTCCTTTGCTGGCCATCTTTCCATAGACAGCTGGTGTCTCGTTCTCCCTTCCCTCCCCCTCTTTGTCCTCTTCTCCAGTTCTTTATCCTTAGGGCTATTCTAGTCCCAGCAGTTTGGTTCCCTGGGCAGAAATCCTGCAGTCTAAAAAACAAGTATTGACAATTCAGTGCAAGGTGTTTTGAAAGAGGGAGGAGCCTGTTGGGGTAGGTTAGGTGTATTTCTCCATCTCATCACTTAGTCATTCTCTAGAATTTGCTCATTCTGCACCTTGCTCTTTTATTTGATGCCATTTTTCTCACAGTCCTGGTGTTCTCAGACAATTCTCAAGCCCACTTACCGGACCAGGGCTCAGTTTCAGCATGCTCTATGAACATCTGCTCCTGGCTGGTGAGATATCCACATTCAGGTCTGTGGAGGCTGTGGTGTGGAGGCTGACCTCGCTGCTATCTGGCCAGCTCCAAGTTCCTGGGGAATAGAGGGAATGTTTCCCTCGCCCCTTCACAAGAAAGTTTTTGATACACTATTCCCAGCTTTTTCACAGCTTTAGGTACACCTCAAGAAACATCACAGCCTATGGCTGCCCAACGATCTGGTCCCCACCTCCACCACGCCCCTGTAACTAAGCTCCCCAGTTCCTGAAACTTCCGCCTCTGATGACTCCGCATATTTTTAACCCACACTAGCCTCAGAAAGGCAAGATTTGTATAGTTCTGGGTTTCTCCTACAGGAATGAATCGAGAGGGGTATTGTGTTTTTGTTTTCATTTTTCATATTGTTTTTATTTTGTTTTGTTTGTAAAGGCAGGGTAAGAGAATTTTATTAGTCCAGGAAAACATCCCCTCTCTACTACATT